CTGGAGACCAGATTCCCAGCCTGCACCTATTCAGGGCTGGGGACGGTTACGTTTGTCAAGAGTGTGGCTGTTTCGCCTGCACTCCCCGGGCTGGTGGCACAGAGCCAGTGAGGTCCTACATGGCAGTCCCCTTCTCACAGCCCGCTTTCACTTTCCTGTGACTAAGGCACCTGTGCTGTAGCTTTGCTGAAGACACTGCCACTGCCCATGCTGGCAGTGCTCCCTCTTCTCCTGGTAAAGAGCAGTATCTGCTCCCCTCTCACCTTTCCTCCACACATGCTTAAGCAGGGAAGTGGGCGTGCAGGCTCTGCCCTGCTAGGCAGCATGCACACACCGTGCTCACGGCTGTGCTCAGCCCCAGACACATTCACAGCAGCTGCTACAATCCCACCCGTGCTGTTAGCAGCCATGCAGCCCGCACTGCTCTCCAGGGCAAAGAGCTGGGAAAGGCTGAAGCAGCTTCCTCCTTCTCGGATAGCACAGTTCAGCAAGGCTGCCCGTCCTCGCGAGCCTGCTCTCTGCTAACGCTGCCTGCCCAGGACTCACAGGCAGAGTTCAGCGGGGCTGCGGAGTGCACAGCTCCAGAGGAAAGTCCACCAGAGGGTAAGCCTTGAGGAGCAACTATGCCCCATAGTCAGGTCTGTGTAAAACAGACTGTCCTGGCCACTCCTGCGAGACCACGGCAAAGGGACTCTTCGTCCAGCCCCTCTGCGTGCAAGGGAGCTGTTTCCCTTAGTTTCTCGTCACTCACCTAGACAGGAACCAAACGGGACAGGAACCAAACAGGACACCAGGAGAGACACAGGGAAGAGGCAGCATGTGGACTATCAAGAAAAGTGTCACTCCTGCATGAACCCTACTTTGCCAGCGCGACTTCCCCCGGCAGCACAGCCCCCGTGGTGCCCAGGGACGTCAGTGAGCCCGTGTACCCACAGCCTGCATGGAGTGGGGGATTCCTGGGTTCCCTCCTGCCCCACCAACATACACCGCAGGCATGAAGCAACAGACACTAGTGCTGGTGAAACAGGTAAAATGACATGTTGTCCGGCTCACACACAAGTTAGTGGGATGAGTAAGGACATGTTACAACCATGCAGATGCTTTAGCAAACTAATTGGACTAGGAGACACTTCCAGCACCGACATGAAGGTGTTCAGAGAAAGTCAGATACGTCTACTCCTATACAGAGAGATCAACACAAACACAGCCTCGTGGGAGAGCACTTAACCCACGCCACCTTCTGCAGCGTCCCCCCTTTGGCCTTGGAGCCCATGCTGTCCTCAGGATCCAAACTCAGCAGTTCGAGAAGGAAAACTAGCAGCTGGTTAGTGAAACTGGGAGCAACATTATTCCACGACAAATTTCCATCTGCACTTGGGCTATTAATGTTATTTTACAAAGATTTATTTGAGCTCTACTTGGGTACGTGAAGATTCACTGCTGTGGATCAGACAACTGCGCGCTTTAGACAAGTAACTAAAGCAATCCGCTTCACTAACACACGCTGGACGGGCTGTATGTACAAAGCCTTCTGGGGTGCGTGATGATTGATAACGTGGGCTGTTTTACTACGCATTAAATTCAAATCCAAATAAATACAATATTTTAAGGGATCCAGGATCATTCTTTACACAGAAAAGTCTTAGACGTATGTTGTAAGTCGTCAGAATGAAAATCTTTATGGTCCATTGTGAGACCGAGATCATACCAGACACTGAGCACCAACGCTAATCACCAAGGCCACTGTTAAACCCTTTGGGCTTCTGGCATTTTTGAGTAAAATCAATTTTTCTGTTAAATGCCCAGTTGTTCTCTCCGCAGAGGAGCTTCTTCAGACCCCAGAGGAGAAGGGAGGTAAAGCAATCTTTGCCATACACGAGTGATGCTCCCAGCTGCCTAGACAGCTTGGTCTCTCCCGGGAGTGGGTTGAGGGCAGCTGCCTAGATACATCTCTTAAATACTGCTGAGAGCAGCTCCAGGGAGAATCCAGCTGCTCAGGGTTAACCATCACGTTAAATCCTTGGAGAATGGGACAAAGGCCTTTTTTTCCTCCTCCTCTCTTCTAGAAAAAAAGGAGTTTGGAAAGGAGGTGCAAGCCTGGGACTGCCTCTTAATGTGGGCACCCTGTGGTCATCTACATCCTTCGGAGGGCTTTCTGCAGCTGTATTGGTCCTCAGCCCCTCTGTGCTTGCATGTTAGCATGAAAGGACTGGCACAGCACCCCTGGGGCAGCGAGCCTGCTCTGTGAGCAGCGGGGCTACATAAACCCGCCCAGTCTCCCTGCCTGGCTCCTGCAAGCGCACCCAGAAAACCCAGCGTTATTTGACTACTAGCAAGACCTCTTCACTCATCAAAATTCAGCAAGCATCCCTCAAGTTACGGTGATAGAAGCTTGTTGTTCCCTTTCCTGAACAGTCGTCCCTGTGACCAGGCTCCAGCTTGCCACACGGTCCACACAACCCTACGCCACCTCCATGGTATCCACCCAGCCAAAGGGCCTCCAAGACGCAGCGGCCCCACTCCGCACACTCTGCCCGCAGCGGCTCATTCGCACTCTGCCGAGAAGCCATTTCATTACCCAAACAGAGGTCGACGACAGAATTACTGACATACATCAACGCTCCGCAAAACTCCCAACAGCACCTCTCACGTTCTCCCCCCCGGCTCCTCCTTGCAGCCATCACAAGGGTCAGCAAACCACGAGGCAACATCCATTGTGTGCTGTTCCGCGCAAGCCAGCCCCACAGGACACACAGGACCAGGCACTGAAGGGGCTGTGCGATAACAACTGAACTTCCAAAACCCCTGAGGCCACGAGGGGCTGCTCAATCCGAAAACGCGGTGGGGCTGGCGTCCTCCTCACTCCCTGGAGAAGAGAGCTGAACGCCACTGCCAGCAATCCTTACAGCTGGCCAGGGTCTGCTTGCACGGCGCAGCCAAAACCCCATCATTGCTATCCTGTCTCCTCTTTTATGACAAGATAAATGAAGATGGGCTCCCACTGTACAACCCTGCCCAGACCTTCAGCGTCCACAGGAGGTGAGGGGACATGCTGGCTGCTCAGCACGAGGGTGACGTGACTCTGTCCTCTATCTCGACTACTCAGCATCACCAAGGCACACAACTCCTACTCCTCTATTTGCAAGCCAGGTGAACAAGTATTTTCTAAATAAGACTCACCTCTGTCTAACAATTTCTGAGAAATCTCTTTCTTTTTAAAGATACACTGTCTATTTATTTACAGCATCTTTAATTTTGATTCTTATTTCTCCTCATTATTTATGAAAAAACCCACCACCCTTAAGCTGCTAAAAAAAAAAAAATAATCTTCCTGGCAATTTCCCAGTTAAGAAAACCTGATGGTTTTCTCCCACTTTGTTTTGAACAAAATGCTGAAGTGATCACGGCAGTTTTTAACCAATGCCACAAAAGCTGTGTTATCTGTAGTAGGCTGCCAAAATACATGAGCTTTGGCACATTTAAGAAAACAGAACAGTTTTGATTACCACAGCGGCTAAGGGATGTGCCTTGTGAAGCCAGCAGAGGGAAATCAGGGCCCTTCTGTAATACCCAGACAGGGATTCAGTGCCCACTCCCTCTTCTTTCCCTTCTGTTCTTTAAGAAAAAAATATTAAAAAAAATAGATTTCTCGTCACTAGAGATGTTAATTTTGCCCAGTTCTCAGATGTTTGAGGTGCGTTTACAGACGTAGCAGCAGCATACAAAGTATCTAGCTAACCTCAGAAAAAATCCAAATACTTGTGAGAGGGCTGGGGAAATTGCATCTTTAATTTTTTTAATATATATTATAAATTTTTCTGCCTGAGACACAGATCCTGCATATTACATTTGGAAGCTTAAAAGAAACTTGACAGTGTTCCTTTAAGAAGATGGAGATCAGCTCTCTCGAGCACCGCAGCATCGTTCACCTCCACATTTCCAACACAGCCACGGCTAGTGTCCCTACGAACAGCGACAGAGACAGGGACAACCACGTTCAACGCCGTCAAGCGTCACTAATGACACCCGAAGGGCCCATGCAACACCAGGCAAGGTTACGGCTATGGGAGAAAACAGGCCCTACCTCTGTATAACAGCTGCAGAATCATTCTCTCGTTTCCGTCTCTTCCTCTCTGCGTAGCCCCTGAACGCCCTGGGAAACCATTTTAAGCCATTAACCAACTACACAGCTTTGAACTGGAGGGGACACGAAACACAGACAGGGAAGCTCTCACCAGACGACAGAGAGAGTAGGCTGGCCGAGGCAGACAGCCAGCCCTTGCAGGGCTGCGTGCGAGTCAGGGGCCAGGAGAAAGACTCACCAAACCAAAGGTCCTCCCCCTCTAGGGTCGGTGGCCGGACAAGTAGTTGTTCCTAACGCAAACGTAAGAGCGGCCAGAGCACGGCCCAAAGAATAGGGGCGAGCAGCCATCATCCCTGCTACAGAGGAATGGACCTAGGAGACTGCAGACACAGAACCTCTGTGCACCAGGATCAAGAGGGGCAAAGCATGCTAGCAACTGTAGTCTCCATTTCGAAGACGAGGATGGTTGCGGTGTGATCCATGTAGGCCTACCAGGTGTAGCCATCTAACCTCTTGCCAGCTGACAAACAGCCCTACCACAGGGAAAGCACGAGTGAGTATGATGGACAGGAGAGGAGAGTTTATCCAGGACACCAACAGACAAGGAAATTAAAAAAAATGAAGATTATACTTACGAGATGCTAGAGATTCCAGGAGACGCAGGGAAAAAGAAAGAGAAGAGGAATTCATTAGTGCTCAGCCCCGGCCAGCGTTCTGAGGGAATTCTTACTCCAGAAGGAATATTTCTCGTTAGGTGGAAGGAAATTGCTTTTCAAATTAAACGTTTCTCAGCGGTGAGACTCCTACTTGACCAAGCTAAATCCTCCCTGGGGCAGCACAGAATCGCCAGAAATATTAACTGAGAAGCTACGTTAACCAAAGGAGCTGTGCTCCTCAGGGGTTTCCTTAGGGCACCGTTCCCCAAACCAACCTCGCTTTGGCCTTCAAGCCCTCTAAGCCCTGCCCCGGGCCATCATCCCGCAGCAAACCTTGTGCACAGCCAAGATGACTTCAGATAGCACAGGAGGTGCCTGAAGGCAAAGGAAATGTGCTGATTTTGTGCGTGGTTTGGTGTGTCAGCTCAGAACTGTAAAATACCATAACCACCGTTAGCAGCCAACATTTCTGAAGAGCACAGCAAGTATCTGTCAGATTGCCCTCAGACTGCCCACAGCCCCGCCGGCCGGTGCCCAAGGGTGTCAGCCAGCCGGGTGCCACCGGACTTACGGTCCCTGAAGAGGAGGCAGGGGACAGAGGTCAGGTAAGAGAAGCAGCACTAGGACAATACAGAGAGAGCAGAAGCCCACGGAGGCTCCCCACTCCCAGTGTCAGGGTGGGATAGACACCCCACCACCATGCATCAGATTCCGCAGACTGGCACCAGGCAAATGCCTCTCCCGTGCTGTTCCCCATGCTGGGAGGGTGGGTCACGCCTCCAGCCGAGCTGGAGCGAAAGGGCATGAAGAGAAGCGTTTTTTTCTGGGCGAGGCAGATCCCTTCCAATATCTCAGCAGCTACTCCTCTCCCCAACACTGAATCCAGCCCTCCCTGCATCAGCCCTTACAGGTCTGATCCAGTCTGGGTCATCCCACCATCAATCAGCCTCTTTTAGGGATTTGGGGTAAGAAGAAATAGGTAGATTTTAGGTAAGGAGAAATAAAGAGAGCAGTAGAGCTGAGGGTGACATAGGCATTGGAAGAAGGACACTGGAAAAACGTGACAAGGCTGGAGAAGGGCCTTAGAAGGCAGACCAGTATCTCCTTTCCCTCATTGCCTGCCTTAGCTTTCCAGCCAGGTAGGAAATACTTGAAACCAGGAAGATGACATCTCCTGACAAGCTGGGTACACCCTTGAAATGAGGCTTCCCTTACTCTCTTCAGTCCTTCAAGAACTGCCCGCTCCCAATGCACAGCAACCACGGGCACCGAAAGGGCCGTGGAGGGAGAGGCTGTTCCTAACTCGCATCTGCTCACGCTTTGCAGAGATTTTACTGACACCTTCTTCAAATGACCAGACTAGCACAGAAGCTGTAGGGCTACATCTCATCCCACAGAGACGCACTCCTCCGGAGAGACGGATGCAAACCTGGAAGAACGTTCCCTTGGGGCAGCAGTTGCAGCAGAAGCAAGTGGTGGAGGGTCTCAGCTGGTGCTCCCACAGGACCCTTGCTCTGCAGAGGCAGCCAGGGACAGGGCACAGTGTCACAGAGAATATAAGGGAAGCGGAGAAGAGCTGGGTAGCCCAAGGAGTTAAAGAAGGTAAAACCAAACAAGTGGGACTAGTAGGAAAGAGAACTAGTAACTGCAAAAAAGAAATTAGTAAGAGACAAGGTTCTCTCTCTCCCTCTCACCCCCAGACAGCGGTGCCGAACATACAACTCGATCGCTCAAGGCTCACAGATACAGCTTTGAGAGGGCCGCGAACTTTAAGATACACAATAAAAGCTACGGCAGCAGTTGCACTTACGCTTGCATAGTTGTAGTAGCAGTTTGAAAACTGAAGAGGTTCTCTTTTGGGAACCAGGTTCGTATGGGGACATCATCTGGAAGAGAGAGAGCAAAACCTGAGAGTCCAGCAGGCAGAGACATCCTTTAGAAAGCTTTTCCAAGCTCCTCCTCTTAGCACTTTTCTTCAGCATCCTGCCCTGTACTAAGCAGGAGAGTCTCATCCTCCTCAGGTATATGCACACTGCCACGAGTGTTTTGTAAATTCGTGCTAAGCCTGTCTATCAGGCTACTAAATGAAGAATGAAAGTTCTACCCTAAGTGTGGAAGATTAGTATAATCCAGGAATTACAGGAGAGACAAGAGCAGAAGAAAAAAAAACCAACAAAACCAACACACAGGGCAAAGAAACATTTTTCATTAAAAGCATTTTCCAGCCCTGCCTTTTCCTTAGTACCATTCGTTTGAAATGTCTCATTCATCCAGTTCTTTCTGATACAGCCTCCCATGGAAGACGAAAAGCATTTGCCTTCTTTTCTTCAGAACTGTAAGCCTGAGGTACGCTCTCTTTTTCTACCATTGAAGTGTCAATAAACCCTTCACACGGCTGCTCCTGATGACCTGCCCTTCAGGAGTTTTTCTGGTTTCAGAAATCAAACCGCACGTCAACTATATCAACGGCAGATACCTTTGTGCTTATTTGGTCCCCTACGTTTGTAAACTGCCTGAACCAACTGCGGATTATTTCTGAGTTCATTGCGTTAGGATACTGCATCATCTTCACGTAATGACCACCAAGCCAAAAAGTGGGCAACAGAATAAGTCACTAATTATGTGTGTGGGATGGTGGTGACCTGAAGGAGGAACTTGACCAAGAAGCAGCTCCTACTGACAACTCTCAGGCTGAAGTCTCTCAGGCAGGGAATCAGAGGTGTTATTAAAATCCACTGACACAAGACGCGCAAAAACTCAGCAGACTGGATCCCTGGGGCTTGGGGCTACCCGATTTTTCATCTTGCTTCACTCCATTTGTGGCTCTCTTGCTTAATGCCTTGCCACATGTTGCTGATCGTGTGTCTTCCTTCACTCGTTCAAGTTTTAAGATCATTAGCAATTACAGTATCTCAGTCGTTAATATTCTGGCATTGTCAAGAGTATTTTTTTAATTCACTTCCATTGGCCAAAACCCAATCAAACCATGCATGCCTACTGCAGACGTAATTACTACAGACCAGGTATCTTACCAAATATTTTGTACAGATCATCATCTACTACAGACTGATCCTGCTGTTCCCTGAAAGTACAAAAAAGTGGCTGCAATTACAGATGCAAAAAATGCTAAATGCAAATGGGAAGGCTTCCTCTGAAGTGAAGCTTCCAAGAAATCGTATAGAAAGCTGTAAGAGACACTCCTTCTCAGCTAACAGCTTATGTCAAGCCTTGTATAAAGGCACCCTAAGGAAATACATGTGTTAAACGAAAACTGCATTCTAGTATGCTAAATACTTATTATGAAGTCCCTATGTCTGCTCTCCTCCAAAAAACAGATAGAGAAGAAATGCAAAACAGCCTAGACTGTAAATGAATTACTTGTTTGAAATCTTAGTAGATTTTACAGCTTTTAAGCCACTAGCTTTGATTCAAAGCAGAGCTTATGAACAACAGCCAATATCCTTATGAGGCTTTGCCTGGACGATCGCTGGAAGCCTCCCCTCCTTTTCTGATAGACAGGAGTCAACATAGGAAAGATGCCTCTCCCCTACCCACAGCACTCAGTGGAGAATAAAGCATCTGTGACCCTTCAGAGGTGCCTCTTTACGAGCCACAAGTAGAACAGTAACAGAGAAGCACACAGCTGGGGACTAGGGAGCACAGCTCAGCTCCAGAGCTCATCCAGCTCATTAAAATTCAATTATGAGTACGGGTATTTTGTCTTCAGGAGCAGGTAGCATGCTCCTATTCGGCCAGGCAGAGCATCTTGTTCTCCTTTCTTGTTACCATCAGCTGTGATGGAATAGTCAAGGAACCATGGGCCTGGGTAAGACTAGAGGAACACCACCAGCACATTCAGCATCTCCAGCCACTTGCCGGGCTACGTGAAAATCTCAGCACCTCTGTCCATGAGTGTTTGTATCAGATGCTGGGAGCAGCACAGGAGACGACAGCTTGTGCTCCTCTGGAATGGTGTTAGGCATCATAAACTCAGCATAAAAATCTGTATTAAATTATGCCAATCTGGCCTGACGGCCATGAGTGTTGGTTTGCAGCAATAACGCATCATGTAAATCCAAACAGAGAAAGCACCACTGTAAAGTGAGCCTCTGGGGATATTAGTCTCTCTCTCTCGTCTCCATTCATCTCTGCTCCGTTTTCTCTGCTAGCCATGCATGAAGGACATTCCAAGAAATACTTCTTGCAACCTGCGACAGTTGTGCCATTCAATTCTCAGCTTTTCCTTCTGACAGAGAGCGCAAACGAGACCAAGCTGAGAAAACTTTCATTCCATGATGGCAGTGCTAGGACGGGATGTGGTCTCAGAGGCACAGTGCTGCCTGCGCAGCCACACGTGCAAGCGCTCGGCAGCTTGAGACGAGCACCGAGGGTAGCTGCTGCCTGCCTGTACGAAACACGAAATGCTCACCGAGACATCTGCAGGTTCAGCACTGTCCACTTTGTTCCCTTTTAAGTAACTACTGCAATACATTTTCAGAAGGGCAAATCTCCATTTCACATTGATAACTGGCCCTAGCAAAAATTGCTGCCTAGTTGAAAATACATATTATAAATCCCAAACTCCAGAAATGGAACAAGGCATTCAGGGTATGGTTCAGTGGGCATGGTGGTATTGGGTTGATGGTTGGACTTGATGATCTTAAAGGTCTCTTCCAACCTTAATGCTTCTGTGATCTCTCTATAGCATTTGCTACAACATGTTTTCCAGCAAATAGAGGCATTTAGCTCCAGCTATGAGGAGCTGATCTGCTCCATTACTGATCTGGAGCTTTCCTTTGGTTCTGTATAAGTAACCTGCTTCAGTCCCACAGTGCAGAGTACAGTTTTGATTTGCTCAGGAAAGCTTTCAACACAAATCCATCAGCATTAGAACAGGAAAGCTTCACTTTCTCAATTCAATACACATCGTGAGGCTGCAACTGCTTCAACTCAGCACCCAGACGAATCCCCTGAGGTTGTGATCTCCTTTCCTGAAAGCCTGACTTTCTGTTTCTATCCTCACACAAGCTTTCTGGCTGCATCATCATATGCAGAGCCATCTTTTAACAGGTAAAACATATATGACCATAAAACCATAAAAGGTTTCTGTACAGGAAAGCTCTTCTCACTCCTCTTCTTGCACTTACACAATAAAAATGATAAAGTCTAAACTTGCACATGTAGCATCTGAAAGTGAAGCCCCAAAAAAAAAAAATCACATGGAACAGAGGAACAGTGCTTAAAGACTATGCACAGGACTTAGTGGGACTGTATGTGTTCTGCACACTTGATAAACAATTACTTTTAAATTATTATTTTTTTAGTATTAGTGCATGTATTAACTTAGTCACATAATTTCAAGCATCTAGGCATGAAAATATGGTCCAGAACCCAACCTTTCTGTGATTTTACCTGCAGTAAATATCACTATGATATTTAGTAGAAAACTATGAGCCCCGGAATGATGCACAGTTTGATCTCCACAGTCCATAAACTCAATTTCTTTTCAAGGAGAAAACCTTGACCTTTCCTGGCTGGATGCTCCATTCTAAAAGCCTCCATGTGTGTTTACAAAAAAAAAACCAAAACAAAACAACCAGACAAATTAGGTCAGACTATTTGCCAGCCACATAGAGAGCTGACAGGCAAAGATGGACTGCATACTAGCTTATAATTCAAACCACATTGATTCTGACATATATTTAATTAATAGTTAAGTTTTTAAAGACCATCAGGATTTTTTTTTAATGTAATTCAATATTACAAGCCCTATTCCCTGAAAATATTGAGCAAATAGATCGTGAGTGAGGAAGAAAGTCCACTATCGTGTTACTTGCTAGCATTTGTGGAAAAACCGTGAGGCGGCACTAGGCGAGGGACCCTGCCAAACTGCTTCCAGCCACACAGGTGAGCATTTTGGGGCCGCACCAAAGTACAGAACACGGTACCTGAGCTGAGCCGAGGCTCCCGCTGAGCACTCTGGCACATTCACAAAGGCTTCACCTGCTTCAGCCCCAGCATGAGGCAGAGGAGAGAGGGTCCTGCCTCCTGGGCGAGCACAAATGTAGGTGCTTTGACACAGCCCCTCCTCTCCTGCTCTTCCTTCAACAGAAAGGGAGCCCACAGGGATCACCTCACTAAGCTACAC